TAATAAGAAATTAAATAGTATTTGAGAAGTAAAATAATCTCAAATATTTGAAGAAAAGACAAAAATTTCAGTAGGAAAAATTTTTTAAATGAGTACTAATGTTTCAATGTTCTTTTTTATGTGCAATAATTTAAATTTAATTTTACTCTTTCAACTCTTCCTTCCACATCTTTCACTTCAATTTTTTTTTTATTATTTTATTCTTAAAAAAGACAGCCATAATCGGTTATTACAATACCTGCAGATTGTGTTTCTATATTTAATAAATTTGATTTAAAATAAAATATTTCAAATGAAGAAAAAAAATGGAAGAGAAACTGATGACTTACTTTTCGGATATGAGAAAAATGTGCAGCATTAGCTGTAATTAGCAGAAAAAATATACAAATAATTTTTGCTAACATCGATTCAGAGAAATGGCACCGAATATTTTCCGGAAAGAAAAATCAGTGATTATAAACAAATTAACAGGAAATGAAAATGAATTGATAATTGAGAGTAAAAGAAATAACGACGTAAGTTTTAAATAATAAATTTTCTGATCTGATCAGAATTATAATAACAATGATTTTGATTTTCAATTAATGATACCAACCGGATTACGGCATACAATTGGAATTACAATTGCAGAGAAGAGCAGCAATAGCAATTCCAAACAGCAACAATAACAACATTTTCTTCTTTTGCTGATGGCAGAAACGGAAGACACGCCTTTGTCGATTTCATCTTATGCTTTGTTAAATTCAGTTACACCGGAATTATCAACTATTCCATCCGGAATATTATTATCATTCATTTCTTCACAGAATTATTACTTATTTAAGGCATAATTACTAGTGATTAATTAGTAATGAATATGGATGGATAAACTTTGATAAATTGAACAGCTATTAGATTAGACTATTTGCTTAAGACAAGAAAAGAAAAACCAAGACAACAACTAACTTGTTAAGGAATTGTAGAAATGTGAACAATCGTTTAAATATAAGTAGATCAATTTGAATAGTAAGTAATTGAATTAAGACGAATAATATGATCGAATAACTCAAATAATCGATATAGCAGTCTCTAGCAAACGGTTAAATTAGATTTAAATAAGCTAATGAGCCTTGTTTGAGAAATATTAGCACTTGAGGTAATCCAATTTACATTATTCACGATTATTGTACTGCATGTTAAAGGTTAAATAAAAAAGGTTAAAGATTATTTGGTAAAAAAAGAACTATTGATTTAGTCATTTTGCAATTTAAGCATTGATCATTATTATTTCAGTATAATAGACTTGATGATACGTTAAAGGTACAAAATTAAGATATAAATTTTAACTATAACATTATTTAACTGCTTCTTACAAAAAAAAAAAAAAATTTGTTGACAACAACATTCGTTGAAAAATAAAATAATTTACGCAAATTTTAAACTTCCTAATTTGTTTTTGTCCAATTACTATTATATTTGCACTCACTTAAAAAAAATTTTTATTAACTTTTCAGTTGAAAGAACAAAAAATTTTTGATTAAAGAAAAGAAAAGAACGATAAGAATACAAAAAAAAGAATAATATTTTACTTTTTGGATAAATTGGCAATCTTTGTCCGTAATAAATTTGTTAAAATTTCGAATCAAATGATAGCCAATTTATTGGTGCATCATTTTAGCAGTTTTTACAAAAAGCGCTAATATTGTGATAGACAATGCTACTATGAAAAATTAGAGTGGCTTTTTGATAGCACTGATAAGGATGATTGAAAAGGTAAAAGTGACGAAATAACTGACAGACAAATAGAAATATCCGAGTTGATAATAGTGATAATGATAATGATAAAAAAATCTGAAAATAATTACAATTCATACTACTAAATCATCATCAAATAGTGTACGAAATAATTAATTACTTCTACGTTTGATAAAAAAAAAAAGTAATGGTAAAAATGAAGGTCAATTTTTTTTAGTTGCTGGATTTTACTTTTTATCATCAAATGATTTAATTAATAAGTAAATAAAGTGAATGCTTTTTTTAACAAATAAATGAATAAAGTGAATACTTTTTCATTTGCAGTTTAAATAGAACAAAGTTCGTGCTAGCAATATGATAGATATATTTCTGTCATTTATAAATGAATTATTTGTAAAAATATTTTAAATGAATAAAATAAATTATTG